GATTTCAATGCGAGGGGTGGTATTATTGAACATTTCCAACAGCATCTCCCTGGCTGCCGAACACAGTGGGGTACCGCAGTAGGTGAGAAGAGAGGATGGCAGATGAGCGAAAGTGGTTTTATCTTGGACAGAGTGAAGATGCTTTCTTGACAGATTTACGGGGTATGAAGAAAAAGACCACAAATGTCTTCGCCTTCACCTTCAACAGGAAGCACAAAGTTGCCCTTTCTGAAACGAGGGAAAACATCAAAGGAGCAGATTCTGAAGGAGCGTCAGCAGGCGGTCTCGGTCTCGCCAAGCGCTAGCAGAGCAAAGTACAAGCCAGACGTGAGTGCAACCCGAGGCGACACGGAGGGGACAGCCTGAGCAAGCCGAGAGCCGCTGGCAGCGCAGGTGGAGGGTCAGGAAGGACAACGGCCCGCGTCCTCAGCAGCGGGACGGAGCCCAGAGTGGCTGCGAAGTCCCAGGGAGGACAGCTCAGCAGGAGCCGAGCAAGGTACAAAGAAGGGTCTCCCAGCAACACAAAGTCCCTTTCAGAAGACAAGAAGAAAGAGTGTCTCAAACGCAGGAGGAGGACCCCGGGCAAGGCACAGCTGCCCTGTCCAGGCTATGGCTTGGCGACCACGAGGTGACCAGTGGGGTAAGGCGGGTGCAGACCGAGGGGCCCAGGGAGCCTCAAGCGGGTTCACAGCGAATGAGAAAGAACAGGGGAAGCCAGGTGGAGACGACGAGGCCTTCCAGGAATTCTGCAGGAACTGGAAGGGCAGATGCGACTCCAATGAAGAGAAAGTGCATTCAAGAGAAGTATGTAAATTGGGGAGAAAAACAGTTGCTTGTTAGCTTACAAAAAGAGATCCAGTGGAAATTACTCCTCCTTCGAAACAAAACAACAACAGAGAGAGGTCAGCCTTTAAACAGCAGAAAGTCCTGTCCTCTGTGACAGCACAAATGAACCTGCAGGATGTTATGCTGGACAGAAGACAGGCAGAGGAAGACAACTGCGTGATTTGTCTCCACACGAGGCTGAGAGTCTCGCAATCCAACAAGCAGAGTAAGAGCAGTGGTCACGGGGCCTGGACACAGTGCTGAGGAGACGTCCAGCCAAGCTACATGCACCTCAGGGGGAGAAAAGGGTCAAGAGCTCTATTTGTCCAGCATGGTGACCGAACGTCTTATTGTGTACTCGAAAGTCACGAACAGAGGCATTCTCGATGCCTTCACCACAGAAACAAACACCTCAAGTAGTGCATGTTAATTAGGTTGATTTAGCTAATCCACAATGAATCTACAGACTTCAAAACATGTGCACAATAAAACACATGTATTACTCATACTTGTCGATTTAAAAATTAATTTTTTATTGTCTTTTTGAGACCGTCTCACTACGCAGTTCAGGCTGGTCTTAAGCTCACTTTGTAGTGGGGGTTGGTCTTGAATTCACAACAATCCTCCTGCCTCAGCCTCCCGAGTGCTGCGATTACAGGCATGTGCTACCACACCCAGCTTTTAAAAAAAAATCAATTTAATAAGCATGGAGAATCCTCAAAAACTAAAGCTAGAAATCCATTTGACCCCGTGTCTTAGTTACTTTTCTCTTGTTGCTGGGACAAAATACCCGACGCCCAAAATTAAGGAAGAAAGGGCTGGTTTAGCTCACAGTTTGTGGAGGTTTCAGTCCATATTCGGCTGTATCCAAGGTAGAGCAGCTCACAGCAGAGGGCAATAGTTCATGGCAGCGGGAGACAGCAAAAGCGGCAAGAGCAAAAAGGGAGGAACGGCAGCGAGCAAGCCTCTTTCCCTCCCGCGTATTGTGTGCACGCTGCCCACCCCAGGGGCAGGTGCAGCACTCACACCCACAATCCCAGCACTGGACCGTAAGTCAGTCATAAACTCTAGAAGCCACCCCATGACTGCATGAGACATCCAGACACAAACTGTAACATCCAGCTATGTCCCTTACAGATATTTTCTTAAAAGAGTTAAAGACATCATATTACCATGACCCACGCACACCCATGTTTATGGCAGCACAATTCATAACAGCTAAAGCAGCCTGTACGTCCACCAACAGATGACTGGATAAAGAAAATGTGGTCTTTACACACCATGGAGTACCACTCTGCCATAAAGAGGGATAAATTTCAGTCATCTGTAGGAAAATGTCTGCACCTTGAGACCATGATGTTAAGTGGAAAAACATCAGACATGCAAGCTTAAATCGCACATGGCTTCTCTTCTATGAGAAACCTACAGTATAAATAAAGAGCAAAATACAAGACAGGCAACAGGAAATAGAATGAAAGATCTTTCACAAATGAGAGGGAGAGCAAGAGATGGGGGGAGAGGGCCAGAGGTCAAAAAATGCATCAAGGATGTTATGCACAAGCACCAGCTCGACACAGGACTGTAAACAGTGTGTACTGCAAGCATGGACTAATAAAAAATAAAACAAAACTGAATTAAATTAAACTATAAAGGCTGCCATGGTAAAAGTCTAGTGTATCCAGCGGACTGGAGACATTCACACAAAGGTCCCTGGCGCGGGAGACCCGGGTGAGCGGCCTCACGGGTACCAGGAGAGTCGGCGACCTGCAGAAGTCGCACGTTTGTGTGGGGCTGGGGCTGGGGCTGGGGCTGGGGGAGAGGAAACGCAGGGCTAAGGCTTGTGAGGGACGCAGAGCTCAGCAGCAGCCTGCCAGTGAGCAGAGCCGGGTGAGGCGAGGACGGTGAGGCCCTGCAGGAGGCTCCCCCGCGACACAGGGCCAGCAGGAAACAGGCACCGCCGGCGACGAGACAGGACTGAGCCCTGAGCGGCTGCAGACCTAGGAGGGAGAGGACGGCGAAGAGCTGTGAGGAGCGAGGGCGTGGAGAAGAAGGAGGCCGAGACGTGACACACAGGGGAAGTGGCTTCGCGACAGCATCACGGCAGAAAGCCTGGCGCTGGGCCCAGGGGCGGGGCGGGGCGGCGCGGTCAGCAGCGTGCGGCAGCACCGCACTGTGTCCACGGCAAGGTGGGGGCACGGCTCTTTCCAAGGGAGGGTGGGAATGAGACAGGAAGGCTGCAGAGCATTGCTGAAAATGCTCATTTCGGAGACCAGGAGGCCACAGGCTCCCCAGGCCCACCGCGGGCTGGACTCTGCAGTCCCCTCCCAGGCCGGACAGAGATGTTACTCCGGGTCCTCTTCCCTAGTGCATTCCGAAGGGCACAGAAGGAAGTAAAGCCATACACTCTGGGCACAGATTCCTGGAAACTCAGCTGAGTTTTCTTTTTCTCTTAGGGAAATATCTATTTAAGTCTTTTTTAAAAATTTGTTCAATTTACTAAAGTATTTTGAAGAAACAAATGATCAAAGATGGTAGTCACATACTAAAATGCAACTAATAAAGACATATTTATTTCCAAGTGAAATTCAGGGAAGATAAAAACGTTAACACAGAGAAAGAAGATCAAGGAAGATACGAAGCTGCGCGCTCGGTCAAAGAGGACGACCACCCCCAACAGAGGAGGACCGTTCCTCGGTCAAGGGTACACGAGTAGCTGCGCTCCCCTGGTAGAACCTCCAAACAGGCTCTCAAGAAAGACTGGAGCAATGAGCAAGTGCTGTGGCTGCGTCCAGATGCCCCCCAAGCCTCACGCAGTCTTGTAAGTGGCTGAATCAGAGTTTGGATTGACTCATGGTCCAGGGCTGGGATTGAGCGTGTGAGTGCCGCACCCATGCCAGGGTGGGCAGCCTGCTACGACGTAAGGCATAGACAGGTGTGTCTGCTCTCCTGTTGCTTTTGCCGTCTTCTACCGCCATCAACCGTTGCCCTCTGCCATGTGTCACCCTGCCTTGGAGCCACCTGATTATGGACTGAAATCTACAAA